TGTATAAACTGCCAGTGTGGTGTCCGCGCTCTGTATGAGTAAAACTAAAGCATCGTATCCCACTGAGAGTACAGTGGTGCCTCGCTTGACGACGTTAATTCGTTCCAGCGAAATTGTTGTAGAGCAAAAATGTCGTGAAGCGAAATAGAAAAGCCCATTGAAATGCATTGAAAACCATTCAGTGTGTTCCATTGGGCTGAATATCTGCTCGTCCAGCGAAGATCCTCCATACGGCGGCCATTTTCGGGTGCCTGTCTTGCGGAAAATGCCTCCTAAAACCAGCGGGGAGCCATTTTGAGCAGCCGGCGGCCATTTTGAAAACCCAATGATCAGCTGTTTTGATCATCGAAGCAGGGAACCGATCGTCGCAAAGCGAAAAAAAAGCCCATTAAAGCATCGTTTTGCGATTGCAATTGCGATCGCAAAAACATCGTCGTGAAGCGGATTCGTCATTATATGGGGTAGTCATTAAGCGGGGCACGACTGTATACAAATAAAAAAATAATGTTTCATGTCCATGTTTGCTGTGGATCACTCTCACTGTTTTTTGTTTGTTTGTTTTTGTAAGAGCTCCCATTCTCTCAGCCCTAATTTGTTGGTCCTTTATGTGACACAGAGCTACGTGAGCAGCCAGTATAAGGAACTGTCTTCCCTAATCCAGATCTACCTGGGTATCAAGATTGGTTGGGGAGTGGCTGCTCATGGTGCCCCAGACCAGACCAGTGTGCCTTGTAGGACTACCACATGTGGCGTGATCTCCTTGAGGGTTTCCTGGCCATAGAACTCCCTCCCAGCAACAATCCAGTTGCCCTCCTTCTTCACCTCAGTGCTCTTTTCAGTTAGATGCCAGATACAAACATACATGTATCTATGAGCTTTCAGGGTCTGAGTGAATGTTCTCTTTGTTTATTTATGTTGCTCTCTCTTCATTATGTTGGTTTTAGTGTATTTTATTAGATACTTGTAATTTATCGTTTTAAGTGGATCCTTTTCATGGAATGGACATTGTCAGCTGCCTTAAGCGCTATGAGGAAGAGTGAAATACGAATCAAATTATTATTCTGTTTGTTGTTGTAATATGCATCAACATAGTAAAAGAGAATTACATAGTGCTCCTTATTTTGCAAAGAGAAGTAAGTTATAGGACATGCAGTTCTGCAGGAGCATAGTGTATCTTAGGACAAAACAGGGTAAATAAAAAGATCAAGTAAATAAGATACTGTAACGTGGCATAGTCCCAACCATACACATATAACAGTTTGGTTCACACAGAACACTTTAAAATAAAGCACAGACCCTGAACCTATCAGTTCTGGCTACCTATATAGAAACCTGAACCTATCAGGTATGTACAAACTGACACACAGTTGTACTCATTCTGACACACAGACTCCCACTCCTGCTTCTCCACACAAGCTTCAAATATATATACAGTACAGCTCCTCCCCCTGATGTCCCGCCTTCCACTCCCCATAGGATGGAACTTTCCCTCCAAACCCATGACAGACAGGTACCATCAGTGCTGTATGTAACAGCCAGATACAAACATACATGTATCTATGAGCTTTCAGGGTCTGAGTGAATGTTCTCTTTGTTTATTTATGTTGCTCTCTCTTCATTATGTTGGTTTTAGTGTATTTTATTAGATACTTGTAATTTATCGTTTTAAGTGGATCCTTTTCATGGAATGGACATTGTCAGCTGCCTTAAGCGCTATGAGGAAGAGTGAAATACGAATCAAATTATTATTCTGTTTGTTGTTGTAATATGCATCAACATAGTAAAAGAGAATTACATAGTGCTCCTTATTTTGCAAAGAGAAGTAAGTTATAGGACATGCAGTTCTGCAGGAGCATAGTGTATCTTAGGACAAAAATACAGATGCATATTTTGAAAACACCAGTGCCACTCGAAAAGCTGTTGGAAATGAAATAACTAGGGAGGAGGACTGTTTGTTCCTTATGTTCCTTGCTATTTGTCCTTTTAAAAGAACGTCTTTCCCCAAGCTTTTTTCCTGAGTGGGAGAGGGGAGAGATATAGGATCCCTGATCTTTTCCCCCTCTTGGGTGAAAACCAGCTCATTATGTTTTTCAGAGGAAGAAAGGTCCAGGGAAAAGGGTAAGCAGCTCGATCACCTCTCCAGTTACACCTCTCCAGTATTGCACTACTCAAGATTGTAGAATGCCATAGGTACTTCATTTCCTTTCAAGGGGGAAATTACACATAATAAGTAGTTTGAAGTCAGTATTGCATAACATCCAGTATGATATGCTAGCAAAGCTTGTGCAAGACTGGCTCAAGATATTTTGTTGTGTAAAGCACAGCAGCCAGTTGTGCTCCTTCCTTTCCAAGTCATGGCTCATAACACCCAAGGGCCAACCAACCTTCCTTCCCTTGGCAGTAAAAATACAACAATAATACATGAATAGCCACACTTTGCTGCCGTATTAGGTTACCCCCGGTTTGCTTCCTGAGGTGGCTGCTCAAAGTACTGCTTGTCCAGAGCTTTTAAATGAGATGTGTTAAATGTATGTATCATATATTTATGTACATATTTACAATAATAAGCTGTTGGTCTGAATGAATTGTGTAAATAGGCAGATCACCACTTATTTCTCCTTTATAGCATCTGCTTCTTTATTGAGGAGCAAAAATCCGAATCACTTGCAACATTCCAATCCAACATGGTTATTGGGTTTCATCAAACTAACAACCTGCATTTTCAGAGGAAATTGCAAGCATTTAAACCCTCTTATTTCCCTGGGGAAGTTCACATCTTTTTCAGCCACAACGCTCAAGTGAGACAAAGATTCCTGCCAGATGAGCATCACAGTTTCATTTGAGGGCTGTTGTTCTGGAATTACTGTGGGATTTTGAACCAGTGATGAAAGATTGGAGGGGAAGAGGGGAGAGCATCTTTAATGGTTGCCTGTGCAAGCATATCAACAAGAAACACAAAACAAAAGCAAAAGAAGATGACGACATGGTGGCCCTTAAAGGCAAACTGCTATATTTTAATGTAAGCTGTCATAGAACACACCTACTTCTTCAGGCGTAAGATTCAGAATACAGAGACTGCATGATAAAGTATTCACCCAAGGCTGTAGGACAAGATTCAAATTGCCATCTCCTGTTTGCTGCTACACTACTTTTTTTCCTCACTGAGCTATGAAAAAGTTCCCTTCCCCCCCCCCTTCTTCTCAGGTAAACCTATCCTTGTGAAGAGAAATGAAGCACCAGAAAGATCTGGCTAATGACAGGAGAGAGGGCTTCAGCCTTAAGACCAGGAAATCTCTGACACCGGCTTAATACCATTGGTTGCCACCAGTATGCCCTTTATATAGCACCAGCAGCAGCAGTAGCAATAGTTGCAGTTGCCGTAGCAGTGGTAGTGATGGTAGTAGTGGTAGTAGAATGAAGAAATGTCCGCATTATTGACATTGCAATTCCAGGGGATGCCATAGAAGATAAAGAACTGGAAAAACTAACGAAGTACAGAAACCTGGCAACTGAAATATCCCACTTGTAGATGAAACACATTTCAGTGGTCTCAGTTGTCGTTGGGGCTTTGGGAGCAATATCACACAGTACTATAAGCAGTTGCAGATTTCAGAAATAACATCATCATAGCTACAAAAACGGTAATACTTAGGAATAGCATACAGTATATACTACATTGATATTTAACAGATACTTATATTTTTGGTTAAAACTTGTATCTGATGTCAATCAGTGTTTTCACAATTTTGATTGTGACTTCATCATCATAGAAGTGCAGAGCTGGAAGGGACCCTATGAATTATTGAGTCAAGGAAGCACAGTGGGAAATGGAGTTCCCAATCTCTGACTCTACAGCCAGATGTCTACTCTAAACCATTGAGCTATTCAGCAGTTCAGTAGTTGCAATTTTCTCGGTCTCGGTCCAGTTCTTTGAGTGGGAAATCATTGGAAACCATGTTCATGCTGCCTAGGGACACTCCTAAGCATGTGTAGGTGTGTCCAGGCCATAGGAATGAAATATACAAGCCCGTCTCCTGTTATTGTTGAGCTTTCTCAGTTGCTGGTTCTTGCTCACCATAGGCATAAGGTTAAATTCAGAAAAGAACAGGCAAGAACAAGGTTGGCTGGCAGCAAGCCCATTTCAAGTTAGGCCAGGATTTCAGAAGAGATTTGGATTCAGTTCATAATGGACTTGGGAGTTCTGAATTTATGAACTCAGCCCATTTCAGAATTTGCTGTTATCACTAAGTTGGGTAGAGAAAGGAATCTGAGTGTCCTAAACATAAATATTTTCCAGCTGTATCGCTCTGTTACAGTATATTAGCCAAAATCCATTGTTAAGTCACAACTAGAGTAGGCCCTCTGAATCAGTGGTAATTTGGTGAGTCAACTCCTATGTGAGTTCCATTATTTCAATGAGCCTACTCTGCTTGAAACTTACTACAGTGGTGCCCCGCTTGATGACGATAATGTGTTCCAGGAAAATTGCTGTACAGCGAAACCGTCGTCAAGCGAAAAAAAAAACCACCATTGAAATGCATTGAAAACTGGTCAATGCGTTCCAATGGGGGAAATACCTGCTCGTCCAGTGAAGATCCTCCATAGGGGAAGCCATTTTGCATTGCTGTCTTCCGGAAATAGGTCTGGAAAACAGCGGGGAGCCATTTTGAAAACCTGACGATCAGTTGTTTTTAATTGTCGTGAAGCGAAAAATCGGTTCCCAAAACATGGAACTGATTGTCATAAAACAAAAAAAACCCTATTAGAATCATCGTTTTGCGATCACTAAGCGATTTCATCATCTAACAGGGTAATCATCAAATGGGGCACCACTGTATTGGATTTTAGCCAGTTTGGGGTTTTTTGTTTGTTTGTTTCTGTTACACATATGTAAGTGTAGCACGCTGGTCTGTATATCATACTAACTAATCAGTACTTGGTATTTTTTGTTTCCTTGTTTCAGTGTTAGTAACATGTCTTTCACATTTGTTTCTTGACAGACCCAAGTAGCATAGACTTCAAAGGGAACGCCAGTGGAGCCGACATAACGTTGTGTCCTCAACCCTGTGAGAAGACAGATCTTGTGAACTGTGTGAACACTGAACCATTTCTACCTGAACTTCCTTTATCTTGGACATATGAGCAAAAGGATGAAGGAGAATCCACCCTAAAAAAATCTCTGGATACGTTTTATGGAACTTGCTGCCAGAAGAAGCCACATGGAGGAAGTCCAGAATACGAAGCAGCTTCGCAATGTGTGTCTGTCAAAATGGCAGAGCTAGCAGACAAAGGTGGAATGAACTATGCCCTGAAGAGTCTCCGGATAGCACAGATGGTTTTAAACCGAGATGGGACTAAAGTACTTCCTCAACACTCCCGTAACACCTGCTTTTCTACTCCCCCTAAAGTCAGCCTTTGTTTAGAGCCAAAGAGGCAAGTCCCTGGACTCTCAGATGATATCCTTCAACTTATCATGAATCAGAATGCAATGAAATGAATTTCATCCTGAAATTATTAAGTTTCTCAGCATGTTTTCCTTCTTTTTAAATTATATATGCGGTGATAAAAAATTTTTTCCAATGGACTGAGTTTATCCCAATGTCTCTCCAACGCCAAGAGCAAAATAAAGGCACGAAATAACCAGATTGTATTCCATGTCACAAAAACAGTTGCTTTAATTACCAGCGTTTCTTGGTTGTGCCAATGTGAGTGAGTGAAATGTATGTTTTATATGCATGAACACTGTGTTGGATCCACCAGCACTGTGGTTATGGATATGAAGCTGCCTTTATATAGAGTCACACCATTGGGCCATTTAGCCCAGTATTTCCTCTTTTGATTGGCAGTGCCTCTCTAAGGACCCAGGCGTGGATCTTTCCCAGTTGTCTTAAGTGGAATTCTGTAGACTGGAGATGGCAGGGATTAATGCTGGATCCTTCTTCCTGCATGGTGTGTGCTCTGCCCACTGCACTGCGTTTTTTCCCAAAAAGCAGTGCAAGGTGTGTAGAAAGGAAATGGGAATGACTGTATCACACTGAAGAGAGAGAATTGGTGCATTTTGAAGCTTGCTGCTAAGAATCAATATGGCCTTTCACCATATGTGTGGCTTTACAGAGCTTGCAATAGCTCCTTTTCTGGCCCATAACTGCAGAATTCCTCACCCAGGACAACAATGGTCCATGCCAGTTAGGCTGTCTGTGAACTGCCCTCTAAAAAATCTTGTCAATGGCAATCTGATGCGTTTTACTGGAAATCAGTCATAGTAAGCAGTGATGGATCGAGTCCCCAAAACCTCAGTGATGCCTGCTTCCCAGGTAACTGTATCTTTAGGTATAGACCCATTTGGCAGCATGAAAAATTAGATCAGTGGTTCCCAACCTTGAGTAAACCAGGTGTTCTTGGACTGTAGTTCCCAGAAGCCTTGACCACCAGCTGTGTTGGCTGGGATATCTGGGAGTTCCAATCCAAGAACATCTGGATTATCCAAGATTGGGAACCGCTGAATTACACTGACACAAGTCCATGTCAGTACTGCTTTCTTGGCAGTAATTGTTCCTGTCTCCCAAGTAAGACACATCTGCTGCTCAAGAACTAGCATGTCACTATGGGATGGGACAAGGTTCTTTTCTACCATCTTTCTCACATAGCAACACAGCATTGTGGAGTTGGAAGGGATACTTAAGACAATCTAGTCTAAACCCTGCCAGTATAGGAAATCCCAAAGCTGGTGCATCTACAACAGATAGCTCTCCAGCCTCTCTTTAGAGACCTTTAAAGAAGGAGAGCCCACCACCTTTCCAGGCAGTTTATTTCACTGTCAAAGAGCTCTTGCCAGGAAGTTCCCCCCCCCATGTTCAATCAAAATCCCCTTTCTCATCGTTTAAATCTATCAGTTTCAGTCCTACCCTTTGGTGCAGAAGAAATTGGGCTTGGTCCATCTTCCATAGGATAGACTTGCAGACCTTTAAAGGAGATTACAAAGTCCCCTCTCAGTTTCATCTTCTACAGGCTAAATATACCCCACTTTCCTCAATCTTTTCTCATAGGGCTTGCTTTCTAGATCCACTACCATCTTGGTCACCCTCTTCTGGCCACATTCCAGCTTGTCAATATCCTAAATTGTGCTGCTCAGAATTGGGTAAAATTTTCTATAGGTGATCTGACCAGCACAGAATATAGTGATACTACTACTGCCCTTGATCTGAACACTATACTTCTGTTGAGGCAATCTAGCATTGTATTTGCTTCTTTTTGCTGCTGCAACTCCATGTGGACTAATGCTTAGCTTGTGGTCTATGAACACCCTGAGACCCTATTCACACATACGACTGCCAACTGTGTTTGCACAGTTGATTTTTCCTGTCCAAACGTATAACATTACCTTTCCCTGATTTTTTATTACTTTTTTATTTATTAAAAAAACATACAAACCTAAAAACATCTAATAACACAAAACAACAAAAGCAATTATAAAAATGATGCTCCTATGCCTCCACTGAGCCCATTTGGAGATATAACCATTTTTTCTCCCTCCATAGAGCCCCATTCACCTTCCAAAATTGCATAGACGCTTACAAAGGTGCACATCCCTTCCTCTTTATTAATACAAAATTAATGAATCCTCCCCAAATATCTTTAAAAATATTCTTACTCATCAGTCTCGTCTTTACTTTAATATTAATAATAGTTAATATAACTTTACAGTTTTTCCTGGATGAAACCCTGTTTGTTTTTTTGGCCCAGTTCTCCAATCTGAAAAAGTCATCTTGAATCCAGTTTCTGTCTTCTGAAAAATTAGTTACTTTTCCCAGTTTAATGTCGTCTGTAGATCTGATGAGCATTCTCTCCACTGCTTCATCCCAATCATTTAAAAAGAAGCTACGGTAAATCACACCAGACCCAGGACAAAACTCTATAGGACCCTATAGCCCTTGTCATTTCTCTCCATGATGAAGGGGAACTATTGGTGAGTGATGTTTTGGGGGGTCCAGACCATAAACTAATGCACATAATAGTATCATTGTTGGCCCCATATTTTACTAAGTTATCTACCACAATACCATGGGTAACTTTGCTGAAAGCCATTCCGAAATCAGAATAAAATACATTTACAGCATTTACCTAACCTACCAAGATTGTAACTTTTCTAAAGAGAGAGAAGTGGAAGGATTAGTCTGGGATTTTTTTGTCTTTGTCTTGAAAGACTGATGCTAGTTTTTAGTAATCAAAGCATTCTTTTCTAAGTGCTAACTGACTGATTGTTTGTCTGCTCTAGAACCTTTGCTGTTAATGATATCAAGCTGACTACTCAATAGTTTTGAAGATGGGAAGCAGATTTGACTCCCTCCAAGTTGCCCAGGACCTCGCCTCTTTCCCTGCAATTCTCAAAGATTGTACAGTGGACCCTCTACTTACGGAATTAATCCGTATTGGAACAGTGGCTGCAGGTCGAAAAGTCTGTAGGTCAAATCTCCATTGACCTACAATGCATTGAAAACTGATTAATCTGTAACCGGCCGTTTTTGTTCTGTTTTTGTTCCGTTTTGTTTTTTTTCTGGTCCGTAGGTCAATTCTCCGGCTGCAAGTCGAACCTAAACTTTGCGGCCAGAGAAGTCTGTAACTCAAACAGGCTGTAAGTCGAGCCGTCTGTAAGTCGAGGGTCCACTGTAAACAAAGACTCTGAGAGTACATCCACAAGCTGCTTTCATTCTCTTGGATGCAGTACATACAGCCCCGGAGACATGAACTCATTTGAAATAGCTGCGTGTCACGATAACCACTTTTTCAATTATCTTGGACAGCACTCCCCTCACGGTTGCTTGTTCTGTCTGCAGTGGCTTGAACGCTCTTTCTCTTTTGGGAGAAAACCTACATAAAGCAGCTGTTGAGTTGACCTGCTCTGTCACACATTAGCATTTTTTTAAAAAGAAACCTTTTCGCACAGCAGACCTGCGATTTCCTTGTTCTCCCTTATCCTCCAAGCACTGTTGAAGACCCCTCTTCTGTTATGTTTAATCATTCTTGCAGCTCTGAGCTCATTCAGAGATTTAGTTCTCCTGACCTTCTCTCTACAAATATTGGCTACGCATTTGTACTCTTCCATGGTGATTTCTTTCTCCTTCAATTTCCTGTGCATGCCCTTTAAAAATCTCAGTGCTTTCTTCAAATTCCTTAATGCAGCCACGCTGCTTTCTTGTCTAGTTTTCATATGAATAGTTATCCCTTCAGTATCACATTTTAAAGAAGCCCTCAGGCCCTCAATGATTCTCCCTTCTTTTTCAGTATTTCTGGCAGTTGGGTTTTGCCCAGTCTTTCATTAAGCATGGGAACATCAGCTTTCTTAAAATCCAGAATGTATGGCATGCTGTCCCTAGCTTTCACTTTCCTCAGTAAAACAAATTCCATGGTTAATTTTTTTTCTTATATTTGTTATGTTTTTTATGTTGTAAGCCGCCTAGAGTGGTCGAAATGGCCAGATAGGTGGGGTATAAATAGAATAAGTAAAAATAAAATAAAAATTATGGACACGGAGGGGTCACCTTTGCCAAAGCTGCAGGATGGCGAGGAGAGGCAAACTAGCTACAGGAATATTGGAATCTAGCATTCTGCTCCCTCTCTCTAAGCTAACGTGAGAACTAGTAGAAAAAGGAGAATTTTAGCAGTGAGGTGGGGTTGTGGCCCTGACGGAGTAGAAAGCAACAATTTTAGAGTTCTTGTCTGGATGGATGGATGGATGGATAATTTAAGGCCAAGGTTCTTACCATTTCCAACTCACTGACTAGTTCTTTCCTCTTGTTGAAGACTGGGTCCATCTGTAGGTTTAAGTAAATATTAAGAGCTAGGATGACACAGTGTTCCTAACCACCGGGTAGGACGTGTTAGTAAATTACTCACCATTAAACAGAAGAAAACAAGATTTCAGTTTCTTACTGCGGCACACAGGTGCCACACAAGTCACTCGCTATGAAGGGTTTCAGAAAGGGTGTCCCTGGGCCTTCTGGTCTTCCGCAGGCACCTATTTTGAGAGAGAGGGCGGCTGTAACTTCACCCAGAGACCTAGGAGAAAGAATTTACTTGGTAATGAGTAATCAAACAGACATGAGCTTAAATTTGTTTGTTTATTTAAAATATTTTTACCCCACCTTTCTCCTAAAAAGAGTGTGAGGTGACTTACAGTATTAAAAAATGAACACTATGAAAGCTAAAAAACAGGCATTAAAAACAAACAGCATTTTAAAAAAAGAAACAAATACCACATTGAAAACTTACTGACAAAAGCAATATTAAAAACACACTGAAAAACAAGAAAGATACAGGTGTCCTGTTATTTAAACACTTAAAGCTTTTTTTTTTAATCCTGAATAAAGCAAAAAGGAGAGGTGAAACAAATCGGAAGACGCACAGACAAACAGACACGTCTGCCTGAAAGGGAATCTGAGAAATTGATCCATTTAGACATGCATCCTGCCCTGCCGTAATAATGCAGAACATTTAACAATGTTTATGGCTTTTAATCTGACATTGCTCTTTTTTTGGCAGAGACTCCATTTTTTCTTTTAAAAGCAAAGTTAAGGGAGGGGGAAGGACTTTATTCAAAGTTTACACACAAACCTAAAGAAATTTTCAGGCAGGCAGCTGTA